GACAGAGCATGAACGGGGGAGGGGCAGAGAGAGGGAGACACAGAATCGGAAACAGGCTCCAGGCTCTGAGCCATCAGCCCAGAGCCTGACGCGGGGCTCGAACTCACAGACCGCAAGATCGTGACCTGGCTGAAGTCAGACGCTTAACCGACTGCGCCACCCAGGCGCCCTAACGGCCTCTTATTTAAAAGAAGATAAGAAAAACAAGCCCCCGGATTTGTAAATACAATGGCAAGTTGTTCGTTTCCGAGCCACTTACCCTTTTTAAATACGCTCAAGGTTTTTCAATATATTTGGGCTTTTCAAATGTGCCCGGCCTGCTGGGCACCGTAGAGTAAAAGGCATTTGCTCTAACCTAAGAATTCCCTGCTGCTTTAACCATACCCTTTTGGATATATTTGGATTCAACGGAAGTGGGTACAGGAGACGGCAAAGAAGTAGGCTTTCTTGTCTACCCGGTGGTAACCGTGTGCCCAGGAGTGAGGTGGGTGCTGTGTGCAGGCCAGAGGGATGGTGGGAGAAGGGAGGTCCTTAAGCCCCTACAGGAACCAGTGCTGCAATCCAGCATGGCTTATTCAGATGCATTTTCCATAAAGCTACTAGAAATTCAACCTATGCGGCTACTCTTAAATGCAACAAGTATCAACACTAAGCATTTCAGTGGATTTTTTCTTAATTTTTGCCTTTTCTTGTCTCAGGTAACTGCTGGGGTCCCGCTTAAGAAAGAATATACAGAGGAGGTAAGAGCAGGTGTTTTGAAGGCTTATGTGAAGAACCATTCAAACCCATGGGCCAGCAGCTGAATCTCAATCAGTGAATGAGCCCTCCTCCACCAGTGGCCTCTTGGAAAACTGCTTTTCTAATAATCCGGGAGAAAATGGGTGGGGGCAAGGGATAAAATCCGTTGAGTTAACTCTTCATTCTTAAGATGTGATGGATGCAGGCTTCACATATGCACTGTTCCCTACCCTCTGGGCAGCCATCATAGCCAGAGCTCAGTCTCCAGCACAGAAACAGATCTGAAGCTTATACCCATGTATTCTTTCGGTGCGGAAAAAACTGACCTGTGGAGCGTATGCATTTGGTTTTATCACTTGCTTGAGTTACTTGACTCTTGGGTCAATTAGACTTTGATTCACTGGCAACAGTACCTCTTAGCTCCTACAGGTGGCACCAGGGATTCGAGCCGGCAACGGCCAGACAGCACTCCTCACCCTCCCGGGGCCTTGTGCCCTCTTGTCTACCAACCTGCAGAGTATGAGTGCATTGCTTTTGCCCTGGCCACCGGTCAGCGGAAGAAATAGCCGCCCGGCTCCAGACCCAGATATGCCATTGGGCCCAGAATGATTTCAGAAATTATTGTGGAAATGAGCCTCCTCTTTCTGTAGCCACCTTTCCTTGGGGGAGAAACTGTTTTATGGTCTTATTTAATAGCTCCTAGGACAGTCAAGGGAGCAAGCTGGGAGCGAAACCTGCCAGAGTGGACTCTCGCCAGTTTGGTTTGGCAGCTTTGGTGGGAGGCGTACATGGGGGTCTGGTCTTCTTCCAGAACATCCAGCTGGTGGCAGACGGCTGCTGTAACCTTCAGAAGCAGATTCAGATTGCTCAGCTCTTTGGGGTCCCCGTTGTCGTGGCTCTGAATGTCTTCAAGTAAGTGAAGTCCCCCCTGCTTTAAACGTGCTCGTCTTGCGGGCCACCCTGTGAACTCTGTTTGTGTCTTGAGGGGTGTTTGTGGTCTTTCTCTGCTTTGTCAAGAACTATCTAGAAATACTCTGCTCCTTCTGTTTGGTGGGCTTGGTTTGGGTTGGTTTCATTTTAACAGAAGTTTCTCAAATGTTTATAGGAAATGAAATCTATATAGTGAGTTAACATTTCCTTGGCTTCTTCTTTCTTTTTTTTTTTTTTAAATTCCACCCAGCGTTTCTGTCCGAAAGACCGTGGATGATCAAAGGGTTACGTTATGGAATTTTCTCAATAAAACCCTTAACAACTTGAAATATTTGAGTCCTGTTAGAGAGGTTTCTTTTTTTTTCCCCCAGCGCTTTAAGTCTGATTTATTTAAACACAACGTAACCACTTTTGATGTTTAAAATATATTCAGTGTTAGAGAGCAAAGTTCTGTATAAACGGTTAGTCTTTCTTTAAAAACATCCCTAAATGAATACAGATGCAAAACCACAAACGTTTTCATCACCAGGACCGACACCCGCGCGGAGATTGACTTGGTGTGTGAGCTGGCGAAGCGGGCCGGCGCCTTTGATGCGGTCCCCTGCTATCACTGGTCGGTCGGTGGGAAAGGGTCAGTAGACCTGGCTCGGGCTGTGAGAGAAGCTGCAGGTCAAGGAAGCCGTTTCCGATTCCTCTACGACCTCCAGGTAAGCTCGGCGAAGGTGCCGCCTCTGGCACCTCCACTGTGGGTCAGGCTGGTGCTTTGGGCAACAGGGTTCGACACCGAACACATTCAGGGCTGGCTCTCCTGAGCAACTTCTTTTTTTTTTTT